AAAAAAAAAAAAAAAAAGTAATTAACAACAATGATAAATGCACATCAACCTATAATATTAAAAATAGCTAATTCTTATCCCCATCCAAACCTCGATCGCCTCCCGGCATGTGGGCTTTCGTATACACACGGTGCCGCCTCTCTCTCCCATAGATCACCCAGAACACGAGCGACAGCATAACTGCAGTAGCAACCATCACAAGCCCAATGTAGATCCACTGGCTGTATTTCCTCAGGCCCGGGCAGTGGGACTCGTTTATGGTCGTGAACGTCTGCCTCACGAAACTGCAGTCTTCGAGGCCCACCAGAAATGGGCCGTACCTGTACAGCCCGTAGCTCACGTTCACGGCCGCCGACATCTGGGCGAACATTGCCGGAGTCAGGCGGCCGCTCGTCACACAAATCCCGCTTCCCGATGTTTGACACACGTAACCACTCCAAACCTGCATTTCCGCATAAGTTTGAGCTTAAAAGGTAATAACAAGTTTGTAGAAAAAAAAAATTTACAAACCTGAGTTGCATTGTCCAAGTTGACTTCGCCTGGTACACAAGCGCGATCAGTAAGGTCGGGATTGAATGGATTGCAAAGGTTTGGCATGCGAGGGCCCGATTGATTGTAGTAAAACGGGCCGATGTTGGGGGGGAAATTGTTGTTGGAGATATTTGTGACGACCATATTCATCAACCCGACTAATTGGGACGTGACTTCCTTGCTCTTTGTCAAGGTCTCTTGGGCAGTCGCGTTATCCACGCACGGCAGAATATCATCTAGAGCCGTATGAGCAGTTGGGTTCTGCACCCACTGGTTCATTGCCACACACGTATCTCCACTCACACTAACAAAATTATGAAAAATGAGAATTTAAAAATGGGAGAGAAAATGATTAATGCTATAACTACATCACCATTCATATAAAAAATTTGAGCAAGATCCTCTCCTCTATAGGATCAGTTATCTTTGAGAATAATTGCAGAATTTGTAGAATGTGTTATCTACCACATGACTAGTTTCTTAATTTCCACGAAAAGCACATGACATGTTATACAACTTTGGTGGTCAATCGTTGAAAATGATATCCCAACCTTCAAACTCGTCCAGGAGGGTATCAAGTTATAACTTATTTTCAAAAAGTTGTCAGTAGGTGGATTAAGAACTTGGTAGCTAAACGTACTTGTGGAGAAGAAGAAAAACGCCACACAGAATGAAAGTTCCTGTCACGAGAAGCCATCCAGTAATCACCAAACTGCAACAGCGAATGTAAACAAACATGAGACACACTTTGAATTACCGGAGGGTAGATAATATTGTATTTGAGTTTTTTTTTTCTTTTTTTTAGCAAGATAGCTATTCCAACTCACATGTACACAAAAAACTGCAGCCCGAAGATTGAAAATGCTGAAAGTAAGAAACCACACAGCAAGATGGAAAAGGTCAGAAGAGCAAAAGAAAAAAAATATAAGTTACAAAACTTATCTCGAGCTTTAAAATATCAGTGATGAGGCATACCAAATCCAAGAAACGTCAAAAGAAGCATGACGGCAGAGAGTATGATAAGAGCCAATCTCCTGCAAGAGCATTTCATGTTAGCTTTTATCTAAACTCTAATCGAACATCAACTTCAAAAGAACAAAAAGCAAAAGGAGACAATAATCTCATTCATCCACATACACAGATTCGATTAGATTCTTGATCTTTTCAGAATTATCTTCCGTTCTACTGGAAAGCAAGCTAGCTGAGGAATTTATCCTGTTTTGGATTTGATCGATGTCCGTTTGGACATTAGGAGGCAGAAACACTTGATCCACATTAATCTGCTTCGCTGCTGCAAGGTACCCCGACACATTCCTTAAGCTCTCGGCCGTTGTGTTTGCTTGTTGGACAACATAATCCAACGTGCTTATTGTACTATTGTGAAATTTCCCCTGTCCAGTATACAAGACTACACATCCAACACTAGAAACACAATGCACCAAATTAGTTCAACGTTTCACAAATAATGCACAGAGAGAGAGAGAGAGAGATGTAGAGAGAGAGTACATTGCTGCAATAGTAAAGAGTGTGAGGAAAATGAGAGAGAGAGCATAGGCAATTCTTGAATAGCCATAAGGCTCCTTTCGACAAAAGCAAAAGCAGCAGCATATTACAGTCAGGCAAATCCCAAAGATGAAGAACCAGACTCCGGCCACCACAAAGAAGGGCACAGCCGTGTAACCCACAGACTGCAATCAATAGATGAACCCATGATAGAAATGAGAAAACTTCTGAACAGTGATGCCACAACAAAAAATAAATTACATATTCACAGAAATTGATTCTACAGATCCCATTTTTCTCAAATATGAAGCAATAAATTTGACTAGTTTAAACAAGGGACAAAAAGAAAGACAATATTTTTCCCCAGGACAATACTATGATGCAAGGAATGAGTCGAGAACTTTGAGAACTTACAGCCCAGTAATGGCGGTTGCTTATGTTCCAACCGCCCCTATACCTATGAAAATCATTCAGAGGATCTCTCCTGTTGGTTCTCCTCGCGGCCAAAACCAGAGTCGAATTCACTTCTTCTACACTTGAATTACCATCAACAAGCGACCTTCCTCTTCTGGCAAAAGATAACACCACCCCATTTTTCTCTGCGACAATTTATCAAACAGGTAAAAACAACAACCAAAAATACTTAAAAAAATGAAATCTTGCCGAGGAAAAACAAAAGGGTTATGAAATTGAGCAAGAAAATTACCTGAAGATTGGAAACTGGCAAACGGGTTCTCTTCCTCGAACGAGAACGAAAAGGGCAACGAGGAAAAAACGAGGAAAACTATTACGAGGGACAACAAAAGAGGCCTCGAACAGAGCATCGCTCGCTTGTTTGTCCGATTACGAATGCGCTCGTTTCTTGAATTTTTTTTTTTTTTTTTTTT